TATGTAGGGGATCATCACTGGATCCTACTCCTGAAATCATTATTGCACTATATAACACTATATATATGTATGTATATATACATATATATGTATACGTATATACATATACATACATATGTGTGTGTATATATATAGACACACACACACACACACACTATATAACTTGGATGTAAATTAAAAAATAAATAATTTTTTTAAAAAGAAAAAAGAAAGAAAATTAGGATGCCTAATTCTAATTTAAAATTAGAATGGACATCCATGATCCAATTAACAGAAGATCCAGACAGAGAAAACAGAAGAGAAGAACAGGAAAGGAAATTGCTAAGGAAACAAAACAATTTTCCAAAACTGAAGGATGCGGATCTTTTTTTTTAAGTTTATTTTTATTTATTTTGAGAGAGAGAGATAGAGCAAGTAGGGGAAGGGCAGAGAGAGAGGGAGACAGAATCCCAAGAAGCTCCCCACTGCCAGCGCAGCGCCTAATGTGGGGCTCAAACCCGCAAACCGCGAGATCATGACCCAAGCTGAAGTCAAGAATCAGACATTTAACCGACTGAGCCACCCAAGCACGCCAGGACATGGGTCTTCTTGATGAAAAACCTATCGCTTTAAGTATCTTGCAATTTTGTCAATTATACCTCAATAAAGCTGGAGGAAAAAAAAGCTACATTATAAAAGGCAGTAAACAAGGCCTCAAAATCCTGACAGATGTGAACAGAATGCTATACCCTGCAACACTATTAATTAATCAAGGTGGGGTGGCATACAATAAAGACATTTTCAGACTGCCCAAGAATTCAAAAACATGCTTCTCATGCAAGGCTGTGCTTCAGAAAACCAAGATATGCAAAATAATTGGCCCAAGACCCAAGAAGTCCCACACTGATTCCTGTGCTACAGGCCCAGAGGGCAAAGTCTCCAGGGTGGGCGAGGGGCCAGAGGAAGATGAAGGAAGATGGGGGTGAAGGAATGGAACCCACAGATTTTTTTCAACTGTTTTACATGCTTAAAAAATTATTGAAAGATGTTTGACAAATCTATTGAAGCATCTGGAAAACAAATTGTTAATGCACATATAGTAAACAAAGCAAACGAAAAGATAAGGCAATTGCCAACATCAAGATTAAAAAGTTATACAAGAGAGGAAATGCAATTGTCGCACATTACTTGCATCTGCAGTGAACAACTTACATGGTCATGATGCTGCAAATGCAAAGCGATGATTTCACCAAAACTGTGGGCACAACTAGAGTATGAGGGTGGAGACAGGAGCAGAATAAGCAGTGAGGGCAGAGACGGGGTGAGGAAGAAAGACAGCGAAAGCCTCATCCACAATGAATGAAAAATGTCTACAATTGGGAACAAGTACAGACAATCAGCATAAGCATATTAGTTAGAAATACTATAATACACCAAAAACCATAAAATACCCAGGAATAAATCGAACCAAAGAGGTGAAAAATCTATACACTGAAAACTACAGACAGCTGATGAAAGAAATTGAAGAAGGCACAAAGAAATGGAAAAAAATTCCATGCTCCTGGATAGGAAGAACAAATACTGTTAAAATGTTGATACTACCCAAAGCAATCTACATATTCAATGCGATCCCTATCAAAGTAACACCAGCATCCTTCACAGAGCTAGAACAAATAATCCTAAAATTTGTACGGAACCAGAAAAGACCCCAAATAGCCAAAGCAATCTTGAAAAAGAAAACCAAAGCAGGAGGCATCACAATCCCAGACTTCGAGCTGTAATCATCAAGACAAATCATCAAGACAAAGCTGTAATCATCAAGACAGTATGGTACTGGCACAAGAACAGACACTCCGATCAATGGTACAGAATAGAAAATCCAAAAATGGACCCACAAACGTAAGGGCAACTAATCTTTGACAAAGCAGGAAAGAACATCCAATGGAATAAAGACTGTCTCTTCAGCAAGTGGTACTGGGAAAACTGGACAGCGACATGCAAAAGAATGAACCTGGACCACTTTCTTACACCATACACAAAAACAAACTCAAAGTGGATGAAAGACCTCAATGTAAGACAGGAAGCCATCAACATCCTCAAGGAGAAAGCAGGCAAAAACCTCTTTGATCTTGCCACAGCAATTTCTTACTCAACACGTCTCCGGAGGCAAGGGAAACAAAAGCAAAAATGAACTACTGGGACCTCATCAAAATAAAAACCTTCTGCACAGTGAAGGAAACAATCAGCAGAACTAAAAGGCAACCGACAGAATGGGAGAAGATACTTGCAAACGACATAACAGATAAAGGGTTAGTATCTAAAATCTACAAAGAACTTATCAAACTCAACACCCAAAAAACAAATAATCCAGTGAAGAAATGGGCAAAAGACATGAATAGACACTTCTCCAAAGAAGACATCCAGATGGCCAACCGACACATGAAAAATGCTCCACATCACTCATCATCAGGGAAACACAAATCAAAACCACAATGAGATACCACCTCACACCTGTCAGAATGGCTAACATTAACAACTCAGGCAACAACAGATGTTGGTGAGGATGCAGAGAAAGAGGATCTCTTTTGCATTGTCGGTGGGAATGCAAACTGGTGCAGCCACTCTGGAAAACAGTATGGAGACTTCTCTCAAAAAACTAAAAATAGAACTACCCTACAACCCAGCAATTGCACTACTAGGCATTTATCCAAGGGATACAGGTGTGCTGTTTCGAAGGGACACATGCACTCCCATGTTTATAGCAGCACTATCAACAATAGCCAAAGTCTGGAAAGAGCTCAAATGTCCATCGATGGGTGAATGGATAAAGAAAATGTGGTATATATATATATATATATATACAATGGAGTATTATTCAGCAATCAAAAAGAATGAAATCTTGCTATTTGCAACTACGTGGATGGAACTGGAGGGTATTTTGCTAAGTGAAATTAGTCAGAGAAAGACAAAAATCATATGACTTCACTCATATGAGGACTTTAAGAGACAAAACACATGAACATAAGGGAAGGGAAGCAAAAATAACATAAAAACAGGGAGGGGGACAAAACAAAAGAGACTCATAAATATGGAGAACAAACTGAGGGTTGCTGGAGGGGTTGTGGGAGGAAGGAAGGGCTAAATGGGTAAGGGGCATTAAGGAATCTACTGAAATCATTGCTCACTATATACTAACTAATTTGGATGTAAATTTTAAAAAATAAAGTTAAAAAAAAAAAAGAAATGCTATAATAAATAATGGGGCACTTGGATGTTAGTGATTTCTGCTCAGGTTGTGATCTCACGGTTTGAGAGTTTCGAACCCCGCATCTGGCTCTGTGCTGACAGCATGGATCCTACTTGGGATTCTCTCTCTCTTTTTCTCTCAAAATAAATAAATAAACTTAAAAAAAAAGAAACACTATAATAAATAGTACAAGCAGCAACTAAAAGAGCTTAACAGGATCACTTTCAGGGAGGGTTGGAACAGAGGGTGGGAGGAACGAGAAATGACTTTTCCTTATTACTTCCTAGTCCTATTGTATTACGTTTACATGTGTATAAGTATTATAGTACTTTGATACAAGACTTAATGATAAAGTCAAAACTAATCAAACTAAACAAAGGGCTCAGAGCCAGTAAAGACGTAAAGAAAGAGAATTTCCCAACAAATAGCAATATGGCCTGTGACACAAGATAAGTGACGTCCCTCAGTCACCTGGAGCCAAGCAGGACCAGCAGAGTAAGAACAACCAGAAAAAAGGGAACACAGGCGTGACAGAACAAAGCACTTTCTAGACACGCCTGGCTCAGAGTTTTTACCAACTCCTTTGTGAGAAGGAAACTGGAGAGCACTAAAACCATATATTGTTTTTGTTTTCTGCACACCATTTCTTCCCACGGAGAGACGAGTCTTTGGTTCTCTTCCCCAGCGTAGACGCAACCACTCTCAGCAAATGTGCTCCTCGCCCTCAGCAAGTCCTGGGGTCAAGAGCCCTTCAGGCAGGTCACAGAGAGACATCTGCACTGGCCCGAACCAAGGGACAAGTTCGAGGAAAGTTCCTCTGACAGAAAGCTAATGTATGAACTGTTTTAACCACGCAAACACATGTACAAACACATGCATGTACACACACGCGCGCACACACACACAGTGTCTAATTGGGAGGGATCTCTTCTTTTTCACTGTTGTCTTCTGGCTTTTTTAGTCAGTAGTTGCACAACATTTTAATTGAACATCCACTTCCATCTTGACTAGGATGGGGAAGTGTAAATTGCATCGTGCGAGCTAAACAAAAAGGCCCAGAAGGTTCTCGTCCATGGCATGACTTCGAGCAACAGATTATGTTCCTGCCAAAACTGACTCCAAAAGCAATTTACCTATACCACAAGACTGCTCGGATATAAAAGGATCTTGCTGTATTAGAGACTTCTTACAGCTAAGGCTGTCTATGCCATGGCTGTCCAGCTACATCTTCATAAACATATATTCATTGTTGAAATAGTCCCCCCAGGCTTGAAGGTCTGCCATTTGTAGTCCATAAAATAAGCTGTGATTTTTTTTTTTTTTAAAAAGTCTTTGTTAAAAAATAATGCAGTTACTTTAAAAAAAAATCAAATTATGTTCAAAGAGTCGCGTGTGTAACCCAAAGGCAGTGGGGATTAAAGAATCAACTGGCAGGCCCAGCATGTGGGCCCATGCCGAGTCTCCAGCAAACCCGAGCTAGAAGGAAAATAGGTGGGAAGCTGGTACACACAGATGGAGGTACTTCTAAATAAACTGGGAGACGCCGAAGCATTTTTGTAACCCAAAGCCAAGCAGGCTTCTAAAATCCTTCCTTCCATATTTACAGAAAAGACCACGCTGCCATAGGCATTATCAAGGCAAGTTCACCGTAAAGAAGAGACCTGGTGACTTTGATACTGCTGTGCCCCTGGGAAGCCATGTCAGTCACTTGTTGCCGGTGGCCGGCGCGAGGTCCAAGTGGAAAGCTCCAGGGCGACCCTGCCAAAGCCCGTACCTCATGTGCAGCAGCTCCAGGAGGACCCACGTGCACGTGGACACAGGGACAGGAACCGCTCAGCCGTATCCGGTCAAGTGTTGCGGGATGAGGGAGCTATGCCGCTGGTTTCATAGTGGGGGTTCAACTGGTCAGTGACAGCATGGTGTTGTCATCCACGCCACAGACCCTGACACTCAGTCTGGTCTCAAATCCCAACTCAGCCACCTTCTTGCTGTCTCTGCTTCTGTTTCCTCATCTATAAAATAAGGATGATACCTCCTTCATAGGATTTTCTGAAGGTTTCTCTTTTCTCTTTCTTTTTTTCTTTTTTTTTTTAGAGAGAGAGCGAGCGTGAATGGGGAGAGGGACACAGGGGGAGAGAGAGTCTCAGGCAGGCTCCGTGCTCAGCACAGAGCCTGATGTGAGGCTCGATCCCACAACCCTGGGATTACGAACTGTGCCAAAATCAAGAGTCGGACACTGAACCAACCGAGCCACCCAGGCACCCCGATTTTGATCACTTAGAAGAGTGGCACAGAGTAAATACTACGTGAGGATTGGCTATTAATATTATTCTCAGTTTCTATCTTTTTAATAATTTTTTGAAGTTTATTTTATTTATTTTGAGAGAGTGAGCACATGTGTATAAGAGTGGGAGAGAGGCAGAGACAGAGAGAGAGACAGAGAGAGAGACAGAGAGAATCCCAAGCAAGCTCTGTATGCTATTAGTACAGAGCCCCATGTGGGACTCAATCTCACCAACCAAGAAATCAAGAGTCAGCTACTCAACCGACCGAGCAACCCAGGCGCCCCCTCAGTTTCTATTTTTGTTACCGTAAAGTCTGAGCTGAAATATGGCAGGATGATTAACAAAAGGGAACTGAATATGATGGAGGCAGCCAATCTTTGAAGCCAAGATAGTCATGTCCACATTGGTGTGGCCCGATCAGCTGAACCTCTGGGTTCAAATCCCACCTCCCCATGTTTGCCACTGGAATAAAATAGAAATTACTCTAATTACACCCAACCTGAAAACGCGGTGTGAGGATTAAATGAAATTCCATCAGTGAAAGTAGCTGAAAGTGAAAGTAACACAGCAAGCACTTCCTGAACCCTATTTTACTTAACATTCCCTTACAAAGTGGCAACATACCAGGCAGCAAGCTCCCTGGGGACTGAATTAGATCTAGTGTCTTGGTTCCTGCTGTTGTCACCAGTGCAGTAATAAATGGCTGCAGCGAATATGTGCTCAATCAATGGCAGTTGAGTGAATGAAGAAATGAATGAAGGAACCTGCTAACCAATTATTGATTCATAAGTGAGCGAATGCATTTGCAAAGGATGTGTTTCTACGATCATCCCAAAGCAATAGATACAGACGAAATTAATATAAGAGGTGTTAAGAGCGACTACAATAACAAATAGTTTTGGGGGTGCCTAGGTGGCTCAGTTGGTTAAGTGTCTGTCTCTTGGTTTCAGCTCAGGTCACGATCTCACAGGTTCATGGTCTTGAGCCCCATGTTGGGCTCCATGCTGACAATGTGGAGCCTTCTTGGGATTCTCTCTCTCCTCTCTCTCTCTCTGCCCCTCCCCGCTTGCATGCATGCACTTTCTCTCTTCCTCTCTAAATAAATAAATAAACACTTAAAAATAAATAAATGAAATACAATAGTTTGCGGATATAGGAAATTATGAAAAGATTGGGAATAACCTAAATTCTCTATGATAATTGACACTTAGTCCAAACACTCTGTAATAAAACATGGCAAGCCTTCATAAAGAATGAAAAAATTGAAAATGGAGGGAGATTACAGAGATGACAAGACACTATATTTTTATGTAAATTAGAGAATACGTTTCTAGTCCTGTTTGACGTCAGAGATGAGGGACTCCCAACAGAAATGGAAGAGGCCACCACTGGACACACTGGCAGTGTAGAGACCACTGAAGTTACTTATCTTTCAGGTCAGACACTGACCTGAAGACACTCTATGGAGTAGAGTCTTCTATACAGAACTTGCAAGTGAGAGAATATTAGAAACCTGTCCTAAGAGAGGAGAGGAGATATTAGTGCGTTTGTTTCCCCTAGGGTGATACAAAGCTCATGGGATAAATACCATCTGGACAGCTCAGGAATGCAAAGGTGCACAAAGAATTAAGAACTCGGGATCCATGGAATGACCTCAGGACGGAGCTGATCTTGGGGCGCCGGGGTGTCTCAATCGGTTAAGCGTCCGACTCTTGATTTCAGCTCAAGTCATGCTCTCACGGTTCGTGAGTTCAAGCCCCACGTTGGGCTCTGCACTAACAGTGGGGGAGCCTGCTTCAGATTCTCTGTCTCCCTCTCTCTCTCTGCCCCTCCCCCACTCTCTCTCTCAAAATAAATAAATATTTAAAAAAAAAAAGAACAGCGCTTATCCCATTACAAAAGGCTCTGAAATAAAACCCAAAGAGAAGTGTTAAAATGTTTTCAGACACTGAATCATCACTAAAATAAATAGACCCTTCCACAGTTTCTCTGAAGAGCACAATGTATATTCAGAGGTACACATTTCAATGTGCTTGCTACATTTTAATCTCAACTCCTTACACTGTACTTGGTTTGTACAAATAAAGGGAGATAGTTGGAGGGCAAAGTGATCTTAGGGGTTGGAAGATCCAAGGAAAATCCCATGGGAAATAAAATTTAGAGTAGTGATTCAAAGTTCTGGAAGGTTACGGGCGCCTGGGTGGCGCAGTCGGTTAAGCGTCCGACTTCAGCCAGGTCACGATCTCGCGGTCCGTGAGTTCGAGCCCCGCGTCAGGCTCTGGGCTGACTGCTCGGAGCCTGGAGCCTGTTTCCGAGTCTGTGTCTCCCTCTCTCTCTGCCCCTACCCCGTTCATGCTCTGTCTCTCTCTGTCCCAAAAATAAAAAGGTTGGGGAAAAAAAAAAAAAAAAACAAAAACAAAGTTCTGGAAGGTTACTACAAGAAAAGGCAGTGCATCTATTTTCCAAGTGAGATGCCTTAGTGAGTAGCAACAAATATCCAGGCGCGACCTCAGAGAGAGAGTGATCTTAAGTAAGTGCAATGCTTGCATCATGCTTCCAGAAAAGTCCAGGTACCAATGTGCCTGTGTATGTTCCAAACTTCCCCATTTCATAAAGCAACCAATTTTCAAACATTTTTGTTAAAGAGAACGAATTCTAAATGATATGCCCAGTTTTTGATGTCTTTCTTTCCAATTAGCAGTGTATCGTTGTGTTTTTAAAAACATTCTCCCCTTCTAACTGTTTTTCATGATAAAGATCCCCCTACAAAATTTTAATATTGTCATCATCTTATGAGAAGAAAAATTCCATACCAAAATTGGAAAAAGAACCATGATTTCTCCCTTATTCTCTGAAAACAAAAAATAATCAAGAAGGGCTTTGTTTTGGTATCTTCTGGTCTTCTAAGCACATGAGGGCTGGAAAATGGAATCGCTTAAATAACAACCCACATTGTTTCCCCTCACAAAACAGAATAATAGTGGGAACATTTTTGTGACTCCAAGGAAGCAAATGTTTCTAATTAGTGAACAAGATCAGCTGAGGTAGCTGCTCCGGGGCATCTGTGCCTCTCATTAGGGACACCATCCTGTAGAGCAAAACAACAAAACCGCCGGAATTCTGTTTGTGAAGGGTGCCACCTACCGAAGAACAAGCAGTACTACAGCCAGCGTCAAGGGGGTGGGGGTGGGGAACGATGGGGGAGTCAGGAAAAAGCGACAGTCCCGCCGTCTGGCGAGATTTCTTTGCCAAAAGGAGGCAAGAGGAGGGCATGGCACCGACTTAGCAGATACAGATACGGGTACGGGAGGGTCAGACTGGAAAGGCTTTGTGTGGAGAAGGTACTTACAGGGCCTTGCGGGGTCACTAGGGTTTAGCAAAGGGAGCGAGCATGGGAAGTGGAACTGGTTTGGAGGCAGGCAGGGGGGTGAAGAAAGCTCTGGGGAGGACAGCGTCCCGTGAGGAGATGAGACCCGCTGTAGAAGAGTGTTTGCACTGGGAACTTGCAGGAATGAGACGAAATACCGAGGGCAATACCCCTGGAGGTATTATCAAGGCCTTGGCAAATGACTCTCAATTAAGAACACGGGGTGGGGGGGGGAGGGGGAGAGTTGGCACCTGGGTGGTTTCATGTTCAAGCCCACACGGGGCTCGCTGCTGTCAGCACGGAGCCAACTTCAGATCCTCTGTCCCTTTTCTCTCTGCCCCTCCCCACTTCCCTTCTCTCTCTCTCTCTCTCTCTCTCTCAAAAATAAATCAAACATTAAAAAAAAAACACTGAGGTAATCATTTCACAGTATATACATGTATCAAATCAACATGCTGTATAGCTTAAATTCACATATTGTTATTTGTCAATTATACCTCAATAAGGCTGGACAAATGTAAAGTAAATAAATTAAAAAAAAATTAAAGAACCAATGGATTATGGAAACAGAACTCTGAGAAACCACCGTACAGATGGCAAACCTCTTGACTCTTTGGAAATTCTTTCAAGGGCAATTATTGAGACTGAAGGTTGACATAATGATCTGACAGGTAAAATAGTGATCCTAATACCATCCTGGGCCCCCCAGCATTAAGAGCTACAGCACCTGTGGCTACCCCCCTAGATCATCAATATTAGAGGCCCAACCCTGCCCCCAAGACACCGAAGCCTGGATTCTGCCCACACATGCACCTCCTTCTCTGCTCCCATAAAAGTAATGTTCTCACTTCTACTTCATTTTTTTGTTCTAAATATATTAATAGAGACCCGGCCATGTTCCAGGCATGGGAACAAAGGTGAAGACAGATATGGTCCCTTTCCTCATGGCACTCACCATCTAGTGGAGCATGGAGACATTAATTACATAACTACACAAATGCTAGTATAAAAGTCATGAGTACTCTAAATTCAAGGCTGTGAGAGCCTAAACAGGGATAAGTGAGCTAGTCCAAGGGTGGAGGAAGGTATGTAAGGGGATTCTTACCAAGGAAACAACATTTGGCCAATATGGCTGCAGAGGGTGTCCTTCCTGGGGGTAGGCAGGAGACGGTTTGGAGTCCTCAGGCCAGGTTCCACCTTTTAACAGCTCTTTTTCTCTGGACAAGTCACTTGAATTTCTTAGTCCTAGGCATGAAATGGGGAAACTAGTGGGAGTTAAATAATAAAATACACAGAATGTGCTCAGTGCAATGACTAGAACATAATATGCCTACAATAAATGCTAGCTGGTATTATTTTTGATATTATTAATCCTCTCTGCTTTTATGCTGGAGTGTGGACAGTGAGACAGAAGAGGAAAAGGAAAGATTTGCATTTAAAGACTAGAATTGGCATATGCTATTTATATGTGATGTGTCACTGAACTTTTGGATTACAGGTAGAACACAGGATTCATCATAACACAGAAGCAAATAAAAACTCATAATACTATTAGAACTCTTTCTTAGTCATCTGGCTGGAAATTGAACCATTATGTTTAACATCATTTACATGGGAAAATGTGTTCCAATCCAAACTGAATTAACCAAAAAATATTTTGGAATACAATGCATTTGTTATTGGCCACTGTCCATTCTTCCACACAGAATCCTATAGGTGAGAGCAGTATTTTACATAGGATGGAAAGCCCCTGAAACATGGGGTAATGCCTTTCCATGGCTGTTGGCTATTCCACTTAGAAATGACAATAGTGATACCATAGCCACAACCTCATCACACCTGGGAAATTGTCATGGAAATTACATGACTTACCCAGGGACAGGTAAATGCACCTGAGAGCTAACATCTCTTAATCAGGTTCCTTTTGTACATTTCATTAAAGTGTCACCCCTAACTAAAGGGAATGCTGTCTCTCTTCTAAGCCCTCTATTATGTTCACAGAACCAGTGTATAACAGGCAGAAACAAAACAAGCAATTTGGTGAGTTTCTGATGACTCTGTCCATTTGAATAATTGGGTGATTCAGAGAGATATCTGGCTTAAATTTTTCAAGTTGTATTTGTGCTTATTATGGGGGGGGGGGTGAAAGGGGGAAGGGGTGGAAAAAGAGAAGGACAGAGAATCCCAGGCAGGTTCCACACTGCCAGCACAGAGCCTGATGTGGGGCTCAATCCCACAAACCGTGAGATCATGACCTGAGCCAAGATCAAGAGTCAGACACTTAACCAACTGAGGCACCCAGGTGCCCCTATCAGGCTTAATTTTTTAAATAAACTTAAGTGAGTATTTGACCTAAATGGAATAGTAAAATGTTTTTAACTATGTTCAGAATGATTTACAAACATGTGAGAAAAACCTACGCACATATAGAAAAGATGGAGAAAATGTATTAAAATGTATTAAAACTGGTTGGTTTTCTGTGAAGATGACACAGAGAAATGGAAAAACAGTCCAGGCTCATGGATCTCAAGAACAAATATTGTTAAAATGTCTACACTATCGAAAGCAATCTACACATTTAGTGCAATCCCTATCAAAACACCATCAGCCTTTTTCACAGAACTAAAACAATCCTAAAATTTGTATGGATCCACAAAAGACCCCCCGAATAGCCCAAGTAATCTTGAAAAAGAAAAGTGAAGCTGAAAGCATCACAATTCCAGACTTCAAAATGTATTACAAAGCTGTAGTCATCAAAACAGTAAGGTACTGGCACAAAAAGAAACAGATCAATGGAACAGGATTTAAAAACCCAGAAATCAACCCATATTTGTATGGTCAATTAATCTTCAACAAAGGAGGAATGAATACCCAATGGGAAAGGACAGTCTTTTTAACAAATGGTGCAGGAACAACTGGACAGCTACATGCAAAAGAATAAAACTGGACCACTTTCTTACAGCACACACAAAAATAAATTCAAAATGTATTAAAGACCTAACTGTGAGACCTGAAACCATAAAAATCCTAGAAGACAACACAGGCAATAATTTCTCTGACACTGGCTGGAGCAACTTTCTAGATATGTCTCCTTAGGCAAGGGCACTGAAACCAAAAATAAACTGCTGGGACTTCATCAAAATAAAAAGGTCCTACACAGCAAAGGAAATAATCAGCAAAACTAAAAGGCAACCTACTGAATGGGAGAAGAGATTTGCAAATGACATATCTGATAAAGGGTGAGTATCCAAAATACAGAAAAAACTGATACAATTCAACACCCCAAAAACAAGTACTACAATTAAAAATGGGCAGAAGACATGAACAGACATATCTCCAAAGAAGACATCCAGAGGGCCAACAGACACATGAGAAGATGCTCAACATCACTCATCATCAGAGAAATACAAACCAAAACTACGATGTGGACCCTGCCCCTGCCTCAGTCGTGGAACTGTCTTCAACAGTCTCTGCAAATGGTTTCTGTGGCCTAGCGTCCCCTCCCCCATTCATGATTGTGCACTGAGGGCTGTGAGGGGTCACTGCCGGGGTTTCCACCAGCCCACAAACAGCCATCCCCTCCAGTGGCTTGTTCATGGCCACCCATGACTGTTACCAGTACTGCCTAAGTTCCATGTCCAGTAACGGTTCTTGGGGAGTACAGAGTATACTGGGGAATCTGCCCCTCACCACCCCAGTCTCCCCTTGGGTCACTGGTGGGCAAGCTTCTTTTTGGGGAAGTCCACTCTCCTATTCATGGCTACAGTGTTTGAGTCCCTAGAACCCTTGGAATCTCCTCAGGCCTTCAGCAACACAATCACCTGTGACTTGGTCCTAGAAGCCATGAGGAAGCAGCCTCGTGGCCAGCCTGGCAAAGCCAACACCGGGCCCCAATCCTGAATGGCCACCACCAGGATTCAAGAGGTGCTAAGCTCATCAGAGCCCTTCCTATAAACTCAGTAGGCTGCCACAAACAGAGACAATATCAAAACAGCAAAACACCAAAAAGGAAGTTGAGAGAATCCCACTCTACCATCCAAGTGGCACACAAGCCTTCCTGACACCCTGTAACTGTGTGCCTTGCACCCAGTAGAAAATAAACTCCAAGCAGCCAGTAAAAAAAAAGAGGGAGGGCACCTGGGTGGGTCAGTCAGTCAAGCACCTGACTCTTGGGCTCAGATCGTGATCTCACGGTTTGTGAATTCGAGCCCCACATTGGGCTCTGGGCTAATAGTGCAGAGCCTGCTTGGGATTCTCTCTTTCCTCTTCTTGCCCCACTCTCTCAATGTCAAAATAAATAAATAAAAGCCACCACCACCACCAACAACAACAAAAACTACATGCAATATCACCTCATAGTCAGAATGCCTAAAATCAACAACACAAGAAACCCATGTTGGTGAGGATGTGGAGAAAAACCCTCTTGCACTGTTGGTGGGAATGCAAACTGGTGCAGTCACAGTGGAAAACAGGATGGAGGTTCCTCACAAAATTAAAAATAGAACTACCCATGACCCAGTAATGGCACTACTAGGTATTTACCTAAAGAATACAAAAACATGGGGCGCCTGGGTGGCGCAGTCGGTTGAGCGTCCGACTTCAGCCAGGTCACGATCTCGCGGTCCGTGAGTTCGAGCCCCGCGTCGGGCTCTGGGCTGATGGCTCAGAGCCTGAGGCCTGTTTCCAATTCTGTGTCTCCCTCTCTCTCTGCCCCTCCCCCGTTCATGCTCTGTCTCTCTCTGTCCCAAAAATAAAAATAAAAACGTTGAAAGAATACAAAAACACTAATTCAAAGTGATACCTGCACCTTTATGTTTATAGCAGCATTATTTACAATAGCCAAGATATGGAAGCAGCCCAAGTGTCCACTGACTGATGAATGAATAAAGAAGGGGTGGTGTGTGTATATATGTGTGTGTGTATATTTATATTTATACTTTTATATTTTTATCTATGTTTGCATATATATTTATATATATGTTTATATATATTTATACACACACACACAATGGAATATTACTGAGCCACAAAAAAGAATGAAATCTTGCCATTTGCAACAACATAGATGGAGCTAGAGGGTATTATGCTAAGCGAAATAAGCCAGTCAGAGAAAGACAAATACCATATGATTTCACTCATATGTGGAATTTAAGAAACAAAACAAATGAGCATGGGGGGAAAAAGAGAGAGAGGCAAGCCCCAAAACAGACTCTCTTAATTATACAGAACAAACCAATGGTTACTAGAAGGGAGGTGGGGGGGGGGGATGGGTTAAACAGGTGATGGGGATTAAGAAGTGCACCTGTCGCGATGGACACCTACCAGGTGATGTGTGGAATGGTTGAATCATTACATCGTACTCCTGAAACCAATATTACACCGTGTTAACTAACTGGAATTACAATTAAAACTTTAAATATATGTTTTCTCGAGGCACCTGGGTGGCTCAGTCAGTTGAGCATTAGACTTCAGTTCTGGTCATGATCTCATGGCTTGAGAGTTCAAGCCCCGCATCAGCACAGAACCCACTTTGGATCCTGTGTCCCTCCCTCTCTGCCTCTCCCTCATTCACGCTCTCTCTCAAAAATGAGATAGATATATATAGATATATATATATATAGATATATAGATATAGATATAGATATAGATAGATATATAAATAGATACAGATATATAGATAGATATAGATAGATATATATAGATAGATATATAGATAGATATATAGATAGATAGATATCCACACACATCTATCTATCTATCTATCTATCTATCTATATGTTTTCTCTATTTTTTCATATTTTCTCCAATGGGTGTATAAGTTTAACACATAAAGTAAAATCTTTCACTATGTGGGATCAAAAAAAAAAAGGCATATAACAGATCAAAAACATGAAATTTCTCATAATTGGGGAAAAGGGTATTTACTTCCCACAACTCTCAATAATTTCTCTTTATACTCAGGCACCATGGAAATGCCGGAGGAACGGGCGTAAATATTTTTATTTTTTAATCATATTGCCTGGAAGCCATCCAATTCACTAAAAATCAATTCCCAGAAAACTATTTCAGTGAACTGCCAAATTAGAGCAAACTGGTTTTCGGCGGGGGTGGGGTGGGGGGGGGGGGGTAAGGGCCTGAAGCTGCATTGCCCAATTGTTTGATAAAATACACCTAATTTATGTTATAAATAGCAGTGCTGGTGGTGAGTGGACACTCCCTGATTCTTCTGAATTTAACTGCTTATT